GGCATTAGATATTTCATGTGATAACAATACAGTTCTGCTAGCTTCCTTAGAATACCTCTCTTACAGGTATCTCTTCCACTTTGCTGAGCTGTCCTTTTGTTTCTCATTAGGCTGTTTGTCTCTCCCTAGCTGGGTGAAGCAGTGTGCTGCCACGTGAGAAGCAGAAATGCATACCACTGGCATGCTCCTCTGGGAACCCACAGCTTTTCACATCACTCCCTAGGAAATGGGAAACCTACTCTGGCCTAATAAAGACTCATGGAAAAGTACTTAAGAAGATGAGGCACAGTTACCCATCACAGCCCTTTACATTTCCAAAGATGAAGGTGAAAACCCAGCCCTGTGCGACTGCAGTTAGTTCTGCCAGATCACTTAAATCATCAGGACATCGTGATCATCACTGTTAAAAACTCTTGGCAGATCTAGCTGCACTAGCACAGCTATTTAGAGTTGAGTACTTCAGGCTTGGGTCCACTGGCAGTAGGAGCAGCTGCTGTGCAGGCATCTACATCGAATATTCACAGAATCATTGTAGGCTTTGTGCTGGAAGGGCGTTTAAAGATCACCTAGTTCCACCCACGCTGCCGTGGGCAGGGACAGCTTCCACAAAAGCAGGTTGCTCAAAGCCTCATCCAAGTTGGCCTTGAACACTTGCAGGGATGGGGCATCCACAGCTTCTCTGGCCAACCTGTTCCAGTGCCTCACCATTCTCATAGTGAATATTTTTTTCCTAATATCTAATCTAAACATATCTCCTGTCAGTTTAAAGCCATTTCACCTTGTTCTGTCATTACCTGCCCTCATAAAAGTCTCTTCCTAAAGCAAGAACATTGCACAGGCCATGCTTTCTGTTCCCAAGGTGTGAGAGTTAAAGCCTGGGAGAGATGAGCTTCCCCTGGCACTCCTTTCAGTACATATGCTGACTAGTACAGATGGATTTTGGATAAAGCAGGTACACATCACTCCCATCCTGTTCAGGTGCAAAGGTATAAGGTTTTCCCCTATGATACAACAGTAAATAACTGGAAAAGAAGAAAGAAACAAACTCTAATGCCAATAAATCAGAAGTTCTTCAGGAGATTTGCCATGGAAATAATCATGTGAGCATATCCAGTACTTTAAACTGTCTCAAGTTGCTTGAAATCTCAGGCTTAGGCACTTTGACAGGCTTCCTTTAAAGTCTATGACAGTGGATTTGAATGCATTGACTACATCACTCAGATTTTGTCAGATAGGTCTCAGGGCAGCAGCCAAGGGAGACACTGTCCTCAGCCAAGAGAAGATGGATTTCAGAAATGTTTTTCTCATTGATAGCAGGGGCAGAGGGCATTGTCAGGCAGGGTCAGCTCAAGACAATTTTCATTTAAGCCTTCTGTGAAGCAGTGACTGTCAATGACAACACATTCACCATCTGTGCAAATACGGATTTTCACCTGCAACACACTTCAGAGGCAGTGTCTGAATGACCTGACTTGAGAAATACATTTGCTTGACTGCCCATTCCAATTTCCAGAGGAGTCTGTTCTCTGGAGTACCAGCTGTACAGTGACTCACTTTTAACTGGTTTTCATTTGGATGTTGTAATGAGGAAAGGAAAACCCAGTATGACAGGGATACAATATATAGACTGAGCAAGAAATATCTGTATTTGCTGAAGAGGTGTGTAGTATTTTCATCTAGTCTGATAAAAATGGCATTTCTATAGAAACAACTGATGAAAAAAAAACAATAAAGAGGAAATCCCATGCTAACTGTCAAAAGACAACATAATGTCGACAGATGCATTACTAGGGATGAGTAAATACTCTGCAGTTTTGGGTTTTTAAAATACACAATCCTTTCCTTTCACATAGTTAAATCACTTCACATTGAGTATGCATGTGTGGTTTTTATTGGTGAAAAAGCAGAGATTTGATTTAAAATATCCCTGCTTCACCTAGTCCTGGGGATGCCCTTTACTCAGTGGGGTGTTGCTGTCATGGAACGCCAGGGTTCCACCCCAAAAGTACATCAGCTTTAAAAAAAGCTCACAAAAGTAAGATTTATATCTTGGACTGATCCCTTATGATAATTTGTTTTCCATTCACCAGCAGACCGGCGTGCTGCCCATCACGCTGCTCTCCAGCTGCTCTGTTCCCAGCTTCAGTTTCTGTCTTCTCGGTACAAGAATCATCTGCTTCCATGGTCACCTTCACTTAAAAAACTCATCTTAATATTTGTCATCTCTGCAACATAGATAATACTGCTACATCTGCAGATTTACCTTTCTAATCCCACCAAGGGCACTGCCATATTGTTTTTGTAGCTCTGATCCCTTCCCTGTTATCATCCAATAAGAAAGCATTCAGCTGTAGGCTCTCCTGCCTCTCTCTGCTTTGGAAGACCAAAACCATGTTTTAGAAAGTCATGTGAAACTGACTTTTGGCAAGGTATAAGAAGGGGTGAGAGAGATGTTCAAGGCTTGTGAGAAGACTGACAATCTTTTAAAATATTATAAAATAGCTGTCATTGAGTGAGGAATATTTGACTTCACCACCAAAGCCTCCAAGACATGCACTGATGGGAATTCCGTTGCTAGAATTCCTTAGCAAAACCATGCAAGCATGTTGGTACTTATAATTTTATAGGATAAATATGAAGACACACAAGCATGATTTATTGATAGAGCAGGAGCTATATATAGTGCCCTTAACTGTATTATTAAAACTGAAGGTAAATAATTAATGGAATGAAGGAAAAATACATACAACTCTGGCAGCTTTGATGGGAAGCATTCCTGCCTTGCCGTAATTAAAATCAAATATATTCTATTTGTATGTCTTTCTGGCAAAAAAGATTGTTTCCTCATTTCACCTGCATGCTAAGAGACACTGTGTGTGTGGCCACAGAAGCTGTGCAGCCAGTGTGAGAGGAGTCAGGGAGGGAAAATGCTCATGGCAGTCTTGAACCAGAACCATAAGCAGTTGTCAGACAGCCTAAGCAGTTCCAACGCTTCACCCAAACATTCCAAGGCAAGCAGTGCCACGGCCTCCCTGCCTTAGTGCCAGCTGGGAGGGCTGAACTGTGTACATGGGGTGCATGGGAAACCATTCCCAAGTTCAGCCCCAGGAAAGCCTCCAAGGGGGAGGGAGAAGTCTTCTACTCGTAGCACTGCATCTGCCCCACCCTTCTGTAAACCCAGTGGTGCTGTGATGCGTGGCCTGGAGATGAACAGTGCTTGATTTCTCATTTTGCTTCAATCAGAGGAACAATCTGTTGATTTCAATAGATTTCGGAGCAGCCCCACCTGACCTTCACTGCCCCAGAAGCAATGATTACAAAAGGCAACTAGGAGCCAAAGGACACCTTGAGCTCCTCACTTCAATCAGCCAGACCTGTGGTAGCAACAGAGTCCTGGAGCCATCAGGATGGTGGGTGGTTCCACAGAAAAAGGATGAGAAACTGCTGCTCTTGAAGTTTAACGGGAAGAAACCTGCACAATTATTTCAAAGTGTTTCTTGCATCCCAAACCAGCATAAATTGGGAACAACAATATTAAGTGGCAGATGGTGGTGGTAGGGTAGCAGTTATTTTCAGTGAAACAGAGCATTTGACACTCCATTTCTCAGCAGGCATTGCTATTCCTGAACTAGGTTTGACTTTAATATGATTTCTTTTGCTTCAGGGAGCACAAAGCAGAGCTCCCCCAGTTGATGAACAGCAGTCTGGCAGGGCAGCCCTGGAGAAGCACTCCAAACACTCTCGAGGCTCCCTTCTGCAAATCTCCAAAATGTAATTAAAAGCAGATCTATTTATTTCTCCTGCTAGAAGCATCTATAAGCACACCAAAAGTAACAGCACTAACTGCTTAACCATCTCTGCCAGAATCATATGTCTGACCATAGGGTTAGAATCACGGTCACTCTTGGTTATCTAGTACACCTAATGGGACATCTTCAAGTCGATTCCTACTTCGAGGAGAGCTCAACGAGCTAAAATACTGCAGTTGTCAACTCTACCATGTCAGGAACATGGTTGCTCATCTGAAGACATGAAGCTGAGGGAGATGTTTGCTGCCTAGCATTAAAAAACCTGTAATTTTCATTCCAATTTTTTATGAGTTAATCACAGTCTTGTTTCCCTGACAATATAGTCAAGGCTGGCTGTCTGCTGACAGGATGAAGGATTACCTTTGTTTCCATAGATAAAAGTGCTTTCAGTGACCATAATGGATAAAACTTGTTGCTGATTGTGATTTTACTTTAGTATGACAGATATCTGAAGGGATAAAAACCATGACTGATTGTAATATGTGCCAAGCTTTATTAGAAACTATGAGAGAGCTGTCAGAACTTGCTGGAGCTTTGATTTTAATGTTGGTTATTGATTTTAGTGCTTGGTCAACTTTCAGCCTTTTCACCCGGGAAGTGAATTCTCTGAGCATGAGAACAGGCACAGATCCTCACTGGGGCTTGGGCTGGAGCAGGTGGGCTCACTGTTTGGGAAGGACTCACTGCCTTGGGAAGGACTGTTTGGGAAATGAAGCACTGCGGGTCGCGAATAATGAATGACAGCCGTGTTCACAGAGCTTTACGCATCTGCACTCCCAGAACACCTCGGGTCTCGGGCCCGGCCGCGCCCTGCCATAAGGACAAGGCTCAGCTCCTGCGCGGGCACAGATGCGTTCCTGCGTGTGCAGACACTGGCTGTGGGGTGCAGGAGGCCGGACTCTGGAGCCGGGACAACACCGGCGGCGCTGCCCGGGCCGCACAAGCGCAGGCCGAGCCCACAGCCGCGGCTCGGCGGCGGGATGTCCCTCCAGGAGCCCCGGGCCGGGCGGAAGCAGCGGGCAGCCGTGACCACAGTGCCGGGAAATGGGGCCGTGATTAAGGCGTCAAAAGCCGACATGAGCGTTCAGCTAACCCAGTTGAAGTCCCCGCGGGCAGCCAGCGCCAGGCGGCGGCGGCGGAAGTGACGGCGGCCGGGCGGAAGCGCCGCCCGCGCAGGGCGGAGGTGCCGGGGGAGCGGCGGTGCCGGCGCAGGTGAGTGGCGGCCCGAGCTGCCGAGAGCAGCGGCCCAGCGTGGCAGCGTTTGCCTCAAGGCTTAAACGCTGCTGCTGGAAAGCGTTTGGGAGAGCATTGTGGAGCTCCGTTTGTCTGTAAAGTAAACGCCGTTCGCTGTGACACACTGGTGCGGCGCTGGGGCTTAGGGTCCCTCACCGTCATAACTGACCTTCCTGCCCGGCCTCACACTTGGACTAAAGCTGGCTGATTCAGAAGCGCATCTTGGCCCTCTAAGCAGTTTGTGGCTTTATTGCCTTCTGTACTGTTGTGTTTTCTTTTAGTCTGAGATCTCTCCTCCCAACCACGCCTGTAAAACTTCCTGCAGAGCTGGTGAATTTTACAGACTCTCCACGGCAGGACCAGACCATGACAGAAAAGTCTTTTGTGAGACTTTTAATATAGACAACAGCAGATGATAGTGTGGCCACATAACAGTTGATATGTTGTGCAGTGTAGAAGTGCTCACAGACCTCGGACAGCATTTCTAGAAGATAGCATGCTCTGTAGTGATGCCTATAAAGGGAGTTAAAGCAGATCAGTACATTCACAATATATTGGTGGGCAGCCCCAATGCCAGATTGTAGGGCAAACCTAAAAAGAGATAATTACTCATCCTGAAAATTTAGGTTTTTAAATTTCAGCAGCAAAGGTGCAAACTCTGTTGTATCGTGCAAAACTCCTTCTTCTGAAGTAAAGCTTCTGGGAGTATGGTGGAGGGGAAGAACAGCGTGTGTTCACCCCTAAACCTTGACTCCCCCTTGAGCGAATTGAAATTTCTGGATAGAAGAAGGAGTTACAATGTGCCCTTGCCCTGCTGGTAATTTGGAGAAAACACATTCTGGCTTTCTCTATCATAGCCCATCCTCATCATGATTTAACACACCAGAGAATCACCTGTGACTTGATCTCTGTCCATGCAGAAGTCTTTAAAGCGTTGATATTTGAGGCTGGGTTATATCAGGTTTTAGGACTAATGCATCCAACAGGTCCACTTCATATTGAGTAGGGCTTTGCAATTCATGGATTTTCAATGCATGTGAGGCAATGGAGACGTGAGGGTCCAACTTGCCCTGTCAGCTTTTATTTGCACAGCTCTAAAGTAGCAAAAAAATTTTATTCAGTTTGGTAGAAGTGCCTCTGTGGCCAGTCTAGCTCTACAGGGAGCTGAAAAAGTCATATAGCAGAAAGCAATTATTCTAGTGGGACCTTTCAAGGTCTTGAAACTCGTACTGGCCTGAACACCACCTGGTGTGGGGGTTGTGCGGGGAGAAGCAGTATGAAGGTGGTATGAACAGTTACATCATCACTGCCATATGCCCCAGATAGAGGAGGGAGCACCCTCCTGTGGAGTGGTCCAAATACAGGAATTGTCTGGCAGTCCGCTGGACCAGGAGCCTCCCTTCTTATACAAAACTGACCCCTCAAGTTAAGCCCCACCTGAGAAGTGTGTGGTTCACTGAAGCATCCCGCAAAAGAGAGAAAAATACTGAGCAGTGTTCCTGCGTGTTGATTCAGGGGACAGAATTGTGACAAGGGGAGAAGAATGTGCTCAGATGGGAGAATTGGTAGCCATGTGATTGTTAGCAGGGTAGGTAGATCGGTAGCAGGGTGATTGTTAGTGCCAGCCTAAAGAACCAGTGTAGAAACACACCCCTGTGCTGTTTTTAAGGGATGCACCAATTGGCTCCCATTTTACAAACAAAAGCAGTGGGGGATCTTTTGAGTTGCCAGTATGGCAGTGAGAGAAATGTGAAGACATCCTAAACCTGTTAAGCCAAAGTGTTTCTCGGTGGGATGGAATCCTGCCCACCAGAAGAGGGATAATGTGGCTCACCTGTTGAATAATCAGGTAGATTCATTGACCTGTGTAGCAGATGTGGCAGTAAAGGGAGAAGAAAAATGGAAACATCTGCTAGAGCAGTTACATATCAAGGGAGACCATTCAGGATTTAAGGATCTTTTTAAGGGAGCTGGTGACACAGGGTGGCCTGTCACTTGGGAACTCTGCAACACTGTCATCTCAGTCTGTGGCCAGTGTTGTACAGGGCTAGAGAAACAACACCCCTTGCAGAAGGCATCCCTTCATTAAGGACACGGAAAAGGCCTCTGGGAGACCTGCCAGGTGGACTATATAGGGCCTTTCCTGAAATCAGGGTGGAAGTAATGTCAGAGCTCCTCACTCAAACTGAGGCAGTAGCAGGAGCAGCAGGGCACAGCACTGTAAAGGGACTGAAGCTGTGGTTTAATGATCTGCCATGGCCCCAGTCCCTCCAATCCAACAGTAGTTGCTTTACTGCCAGGGTGTTGGGGCTCATCCCTGTACGGGCCACCAATTGTTGGCAACAGTGCTTGGCACCAGTTTGTTATCTTACTGTAAAACTTTCATACCTTCTTGCTGTGAGTCCCCAGCGGCAGCTCCTTACACCACTAACTCCTTTTTCCTTTTCTTCTGCACGGCCAGCTGACTCCTTCCGACCCCTTACACCACTGCCTAACCCTTACTGTCCCTTGCACACCACCTGCCCCTTCCTCCGCACAGCACAGCCAACAAACTCCAGCTCTCTTCTTGGTCACCGAACCCACTCTTTTATAACACCCATCTTTATTGGACATAGCTGTGGCCTATTAAGGGCAAGGCTGTTCCTATTCTTTGGTAATTAGTACAGCTGCAACTGCTCAGGGGCAAGATTGCCTTCAGCACTCTCTCTATTCTCCTAAAATCCATCCTCCCACACCAGGGTGGTTCAAGAATGGGCACAGGATGAAGGAATCTGGTGGATCTTTCACACTCCATACTACCCCCAGGCAAACGAGGTTGTTGAATGCACCACTGGACTCTTGAAGAGGAACCTGAAACCTCATGAACCTGAATGGGCAAGAGGGTGTCAGATGGGGTACATAGAGTCAGTAGCTTCTGGGAAGTTAATGGGTGCCTATAACTCACAGCCTTTTGTCTTCATCCCCACCCATACTCCCTGGAACAAAAGAAACTAAAGACCCTTCATTAGTTATATATATATATATATAATATTAAGTCCTCTTCATTACTTAGAACAACTGGTTTTGGCAGAATTACCAAGAGTGGGATTGGTACCCCTGACCTTAAAAAAGCCACTTAACTTGTGTGCCAGGTGGTGGATTGTTCCCTCCTTTTAATCATGTTTTGTTTTTATGCATGTATATGTTTTACAGATTATCTGAAATCCACTGCTGGACCTATGCTTTCAACTGTTGAGTGGACGGATCATTTTGTGTATTTTTTAGTTTGATTCTGCTAAGCATATTTTGCCTTTTCACTAGCAAAAAAAATGGTGTGGGAAAAGTTTTTACTCTTATGTTATGGATGTATGACTTTGTCTCAAGCAACCGAAAATCAGAGTACTGAACCAAATTTAGCTTGGGAGTTGATACTTCCTAAATACGTATAAACCTTAGATACAAATCAAGGAATATGTATTAACCTCCCCAACTCTGCATCAGAGGGGTTTAGATTTATGATGATTTGGTTAAATTTTTCGGAAATATTATCGAGAGAACTGGATCATCTTAAAAAGCCAGGAGGAAATGTTACCTGGGGGATGGTGGAGTCCCGGTTCCTAGACCAGAAAGAAGGACAACAGTGGGATGCAAATGGGACATGGGTAGAATACAAGAACGCCTTTTACCAGCTCCCACGTGACTCTACCTGGAGCGATTTATGGAATCAGACATGCTATCGGTCATTAGACACCAACGCTTCTGAGACATTGCAAAATGTCACTTCTATCCCTTGCACGGTGGTACCGTGGTGGGATTCTCCTGCTGAGGGTGGGTTTTTTGAACATGAGTACAGTTTACATTGGGATGCAGGATGGTGTATACAAATCCCTGATAACCCAGGAACCACACACCAAGTTAACCGAACAAATTATGAGTGGGCCTGGTCTCTGAAACAAATTTTTGACCCTATATCTACCCTACAATGGGCTTCCAGGGTCCCCACAGGGAAAATAGTAGAATGGGAAGTGGAGAAATCAGACTGTAAGGACCATCAGACCACACTACCTAATGGAGAGAGCATCTGCTGGAAAGTGAGGAACCGTAGAAGCCTTACCCAAAGTAGATCAGAAACCTCCTTTCTGAATTGTTCCCGTATATTGGATTGTACCACAGGAGCAGGTGAGCCTATAGAAACCTGGTACATCTCGGAGCTGAGAACTTTTATCCGGGATATGTGTACCTGTTGGGATTATCCCAACTACGGCTATCTAAACCAAGACACGCGATGCAATGGGTCTTACGAAAATTCAGAGACAGCGCTATCCTGTGGCATTCCCATTACACACAGCCCTGACCGAAGAAGGGTCTGGAATTCAAGTAGCGAAGCACAGGAAGTTCCCCAAGGTGACCTGTATCAGTGTTCACAAGCCAAATATCCAGCTCCACGGGGAACGGTATGGGCATGTTCAGATGGGAAAATGTATTCCCACTTGAATATGTATGATATGGCTGGACTCCAGTGTACTATTGGGTTTCCTACCATGTGTCCATCTAAAACATTCAATTATACACTTTATCATAGCAACAAAGTGCGGAGAGAAATCCACAATCCAACAGATGCAAAAGGGTGGATTCGGGGGATTCAAGTCCCCGACTATTACACCTGGGGACAAAATGTTGCTTTAGATTTAGAATCATTTTTTGTGTCCAGTGGAGTTATCCAACGGCACAAATATGTCTTGGAGAACTTATCTAGGCAAGTCCATGTGTTAAGGAACTGGACCGGACGTTCACTCAGGGAACCGAATGTGCAGGCCCCGCAGGCCCCAGAAATGGCTTTGCAGAACCGGTTAGCCATAGATACGTTGTTGTTGAAAGAGAAGGGAGTGTGTGGGATGCTAAACCTAACGGATGGAGAATGCTGTGTCACTGTGCATAACGCCACCACCACCATAGAAGAGGCACGTCAGAAGATGAAGGAGATTGCTGAGCAAACGGGAGAACTGTTTCAAGCAATGCAACCGAAGGACTAGTTTGATGGACTGAGCCTGAATTGTGGATCACATGCACTGAAGTGCCTTGGATTTATGGGATGGGGAAGGTGGCTTGTGTGCATTGACCTTATGATACTGTGTGGATTCTGGATTTTGATGATAGGTCAAGAAGTCATGTCAAACTGTGATGAGTTCATTTTGGTTATAGAGGAAAGGGATAAAATTTCTAGCACTGTATAATTCCATACCATTTATATCATGGCAAGAATGTGGTTGGAGCAGGAGGAAGTCAGGGGCTGGAAGTGGAAGGGTGGCCATCTTTTGCTATGCTCGGGGATGTGCCTTTTCTGGTTTGGTGCTCAAATACAGCGCTGGTGAGCCCCAGAGCTAGTGAGCTGCTCTGAGAAAAAGAAGAGAGAAAGCAGGAGCATGGCAGAGCCCAGCTGAGCATGTGGAGCCCAGGCTGCAGCTGCTGTGACAGCAGCACTGGAGCTGCTGCTGGAATCGCCAAGCTCTCCAGTCCCGCTCCTACAAATCAGGCCCAGGAGGAGGGTTCTCTAACCTGCTTCAGAGCCCTGTCAGGTCCCACCAGGTTTTGCCTTGGCCCTGTTCTTCCACTGTTTTCAGCCTGAGGGGGGAAAGTTAAATTGCAAGCCTTTCCAACATTCTCCTTTTGTATTCCCATATACTCCATGCTGCCCAGCACAGGGCCAGCCGTCATCTTGCCTTAGTCTTGGAAAACCACACTGGATGTGGTCTTTGGGAAGTGTTTTTGTTTGTTTGGTGGTGAATACCCTTTTGTGGGTAAAAGATTCTCTCTTTTGTACACTCTTTTATTAATATTGTTGTTGTTATTGCAATTTTTCAGTAAACTATGATGCCAATTTATAATCTCTCCTAGTGTTTCCTCCACTGCTGGAAAGGGGCAGGGAAAAGGGAGCAGCTCAAGTAGGTTTAATATTCCCTCTGGGTTTTAAATCAGCACAGAGCTATAAGAAGGGGATGAAGGAGATGGTTGGGATTTGTGAAAAGACTGGTGAGCTCATAAAATATAAAAAACCTCATAAAAAGTCCCATAAAATAGCTCTCGTTGAGTGAGGAATATTTGACTTCACCACCAAAGACTCCCAAGACATGCACTGTTGGGAATTCCATTGCTAGAATTGTTTAGCAAAACCATGCAAGCATGTTGGTACTTATAATTTTATAGGATAAATATGAAGACACACAAGCATGATTTATTGATAGAGCAGGAGCTATATATAGTGCCCTTAACTGTATTATTAAAACTGAAGGTAAATAATTAATGGAATGAAGGAAAAATACATACAACTCTGGCAGCTTTGATGGGAAGCATTCCTGCCTTGCCGTAATTAAAATCAAATATATTCTAATTGGCAAATAGAATTTAAAAGTCCCATAAAATAGCTCTCATTGAGTGAGGAATATTTGACTTCACCACCAAAGACTCCCAAGACATGCACTGTTGGGAATTCCATTGCTAGAATTGTTTAGCAAAACCATGCAAGCATGTTGGTACTTATAATTTTATAGGATAAATATGAAGACACACAAGCATGATTTATTGATAGAGCAGGAGCTATATATAGTGCCCTTAACTGTATTATTAAAACTGAAGGTAAATAATTAATGGAATGAAGGAAAAATACATACAACTCTGGCAGCTTTGATGGGAAGCATTCCTGCCTTGCCGTAATTAAAATCAAATATATTCTATTTGTATGTCTTTCTGGCAAAAAAGATTGTTTCCTCATTTCACCTGCATGCTAAGAGACACTGTGTGTGTGGCCACAGAAGCTGTGCAGCCAGTGTGAGAGGAGTCAGGGAGGGAAAATGCTCATGGCAGTCTTGAACCAGAACCATAAGCAGTTGTCAGACAGCCTAAGCAGTTCCAACGCTTCACCCAAACATTCCAAGGCAAGCAGTGCCACGGCCTCCCTGCCTTAGTGCCAGCTGGGAGAGCTGAACTGTGTACATGGGGTGCATGGGAAACCATTCCCAAGTTCAGCCCCAGGAAAGCCTCCAAGGGGGAGGGAGAAGTCTTCTACTCGCAGCACTGCATCTGCCCCACCCTTCTGTAAACCCAGTGGTGCTGTGATGCGTGGCCTGGAGATGAACAGAAATCTACAGATTCAAGCGCTTTCAGTGGTCATAAAGGATAACATTTGTTTCTGGCTGTAATTTTTCAGTAGTATTGCAGCTTTCTAAAGGTGTATTAAAAAAACCCAAACAACCAAACACTGAAAAAGTGCTTAATTTTTTACTGCATCAGGGCACTTTGTGGTGAGTCCTTCCCAAACAGTGAGCCCACCTGGCCAGTCCAAACCCCAGTGAGAATCTGTGCCTGTTGTCTTGCTCAGAGAATTCTTTTCCCAGGTCTATCATCTTGATTCACCTCACCAGTGCCTACTGGTATCTCAAGGGAGGGTGCCAGAGGATGGAGCAGGGCCCTTATTGATGGTGCCAAAAAATAGCACAAATAGAGAAGGGGCAGAAACTGATGCACAAAAGTTCCACGTGCATGTGAAGAAGGACTTCTGTATTGTACCTGTGACCAGGCACTGGAACAGGTTGCCCAGAGAGGTTGTGGAATCTCCCTCACTGGAGACATTCAAGAACCTGGATGCAATCCTGTGCCCTGTGCTCCAGGATGACCATGCTTGAGCAGGGGGGTTCGACCAGATGACCAACTGTGGTGCCTTCCAAAAATGACTTGTTCTGTAAAAAAAGCTGAAAGTTGACCAAGCACTAAAATCAATAACCAACATTAAAATCAAATCTTCCACAAGTTCTGACAGCTCTCGCGTAGTTTCTAAAAAAGCTTGGTGCGCATTACAAACAATCAGTCACGAATAATGAATGACAGCCGTGTTCACAGAGCTTTACGCATCTGCACTCCCAAAACACCTCGGGTCTCGGGCCCGGCCGCGCCCTGCCATAAGGACAAGGCTCAGCTCCTGCGCGGGCACAGATGCGTTCCTGCGTGTGCAGACACTGGCTGTGGGGTGCAGGAGGCCGGACTCTGGAGCCGGGATAACACCGGCGGCGCTGCCCGGGCCGCACAAGCGCAGGCCGAGCCCACAGCCGCGCTCCGGGGCCCGCCAGGCGCGGGGGGCCGGGCCGGGCGGAAGTGACGGCGGCCGGGCGGAAGCGCCGCCGGGAGGGCGGAAGCGCGGGAGCTGCTGTGCCGCAGGTGAGTCCGGCCGAGCTGCGGCGGCAGCGGGGCCTCTCCTGCCCGCGGGAACGGCCCGGCCCGGCCCGGCCTCGCTCGGTGTCGCCGGCAGGGGCCCAGCACTTCGTCTTTACCTTGGTGTAAAGAGGAGCGCGGCTACGTGCGCCGCGCGGCCCCCGGTGCAGTGGCCGTGCCCGCCGTGCAGGGAGATGCTGCGGGATCTGTGCCGATGTGTGCCT